TTGCAATTTGAAATTATTAATGTTTAATCATTAATTTCTTGCTGTATATTAATTGCTGACATTTGTTATTTCAATTATAAACTAGCTATTAAAGACAGTATTAAAAACAATGGATGAATTACTATTAATTAATAATAAATATTATTTTTTATACTCCTATTTAATAAATCTTCAAATTATGGATATTTTTATTGTTTTAGTATGTTCTTTTAACGTTGGAATCAATAGAACCAGAATTTCAAATTAATTGTAGTTTTATTTCCTTAATGTTATCATTTATTTATCATCATCGCTAGATACAAATCGTAAAGTGATTAGACAAATAGATTTTACTTTAATTTTATTTTATGCAAATACCTCTTATATTGATAATATCTAATTAGAAGTTTTATTTGTCACACACAAAAAATATAATTTTTAAAAGTATGACTTTTGTACAGTGGGTGATTGGTTATCAAACAGTTTGGACTGCAAACAAATCAGACAACGAACACTTTCGCAAAAGATTTTTATGTTCAAACAAACACATGTTTGGATAATGAACACCTGATAGAACAAACACAAGAAGAAGCAATGCTGCGTTTAAGATTTGTAAAACTATATTTTAATGGCATCTATAAATGGTTTATGGAATGAGACTTTCACAGTTGTATACATAACACTTTTTGCACTAGTTAATTTCTGTTCAGTGAATTTTTGTAAGTGCTTTTCTGAACTTTTTATTTAAAAAACTGATAATATTATGGGGCATAAAAAGAGTGGAATATCAAGAACTGTGTTCACTATAGAAACTAAGTAAGAGATAATAGCGAAGGATGGACAGATGTCTGATATTGTAGACCAGCGTTTCTCAAAGTGGGCGATAACGCCCCCTTGTGGGCGCTGGAGGCTTTCAGGGGGGCAGTAGAAGGCTCAAAGAGAATTGGGGGGCGTTAAGGAAATATAGAGGGGCGACGGCAGACAAATTCTATATATAAAAATTCGATGGAATATATATAAAATGTTGACATTTTATATATTTTTTATTTTTTATTGAAGGTCACAACTTGAATATTTCTAACACATTGACTTTTATTTTAGCTCAGCGTTTCTCAAAGTAAGCAATAACGCCCCCTTCTGGGCGATGAATAGATCTAGGGGGCGCTGGAGGCAGGGTATTGAACGGTGACCAAAGGTAAAATTGGGGCTGATCAGAGGAAACATTGCATTTAATGGTTTCCAGATGATGAGAACAATGTACAGTAAGGGCACAAAGTGTGAGATTCATAGAAAAGTTTTCCTAAGAATATTTCCAATTCTTTTCTCACACAAGAGAAAATGGGTTAGGGGGCATTGGGTATAACTTTATGGAACAAAGGGGGCGGTGGATCGAAAAAGTTTGAGAATCACTGTTGTAGACAGATGACTTCAACAGGTCTACAGTAGATACAATCTTAGCTAAGAAAGATATAATAAAAAAGACTCAAGCAGATAAAGGAGTAACAAAACTCGCATCTGAGAAACAAAGATGTACAGTACCATCCATGAAAATATGGAGAAATTGCTTTCAGTTTATTATAGTCTAGCATAGCCTAATAAGAAAGTATATAATTTTCTATTTATTTTTTGGGGTCTCCAGAATGAATTAATCAAATTCCCACAAAAATCTATAGTAAGTCGATAGTTGGTTAATGAACAATTCAGATAGTGAACATGGTCTTGGAACAGATTATTTTCCTTAACTGATCACCTACTGTATTTCTATTTTTTATGATTTTAAAAAAGTAGAAAAGATAGATGTATTTAGAAATTTAGAACAAAATCTACTTTTTATTTAAATTTTGCTATATAATTCTTTAATTCTTTTAAAAAAGGATAATTTTAAAGAGTTTTTATTTTTTAAATTATCCTTTAAATCATTCTATAAGAGTAAAAAAAAAGTAAAAGTAGAAATTCAAAACCTGTTTTCCTTTAAATAAAAAAAGTTTTGGATTTTTCAAGCTAGCTTAAAACTTCTAAACTTTTCTGATTTTATTAGTTTATACCAGAGGTGGCCAACAGTTTTTGCCCCCAGGCCAAATTGGAAAAAACTTTTTTAACGGGCCGAACCAGAGGCTGCCCTAGGAAGATTTTGAGGTGGTGTGAGATCTCATTGTGGTGTCAACCCATAGAGACTAAATTGTACATAGAGATTACAGATACATTTTTCACATTATTATGCATTATCAACGTTCTATGCTGTACTTAAGAGATTTGTAATGGAGTATTAACTCTAACCGGATAACTGGACAGCAAATTGTTGACCTTTTTTTTTTTTTATTTTTGGCATTAGAATTTTCAGCTAATTTATTCTGACTTGAGTAGCTAATATTGAAAGATTAATTGCAGGTCACATAAATCGATTACTCAGGCCACATTTACCGTTTGTGGGCCATATGTTGGCCATGCTTGATTTATACTCTATTAAAGCCAATATATTGTTTATATGGTCAATTATAATTACTCATTAAAAATCTAAACTCCAGCTAAGTGACATTTATATACTTTTCCCCATGACTATAACCAATAAACTGAAGAATTCATCAATTTGACCAATCAAAGGATATTATTAAAATCTTGGTCTTCTGACTAATTAAAGTTGTCTAGAGAAGATTAAGAACTAAAAATACTAAAGAAACAAGAGATGGGTTGAAATCTATAACTAGAGACATTTATCTACTGTATTTAACATATTCTTTTGATCATGTGCTACTTGTTAATATAATGTTTATTTAATGCAATTGAAAATTTGGAAAAGATAAAAAATTAAAAATCATCATCTTTCAAACATTGTTGAGAACAATGCTCCATTGTCTTGATTTAGTCTTTTTATTCTCTCTTTAATTTACAAGCATGTAATAATAAACCATTATTAGACTTAAAGCCAATTAAGACAAAATCGTGATGATATTAGAGACTGTATGAGGATTTTGGATTGCAGTATCATTCTCCAATTCCATTTAAGTTGGTAAACTCTATTATGGTCATATATACATGTGCTAGATAAAACTTTTTATTTGCTATAGAACCCATAATTTTCTCAGATCAAATAAACACGTGATTTTTTAAAATGAAAGCTAAATATTTATTTATTTTTTATTAAATATGTAATATTTTAATTATTTTAAAGTAAATTAATTTTTTCTTTGATGGAGAAATAATATAATCTTTCAATTCGATAATTCAATGATTTTTATTATTTTATTTTTAGGAAACAAATGAAAAAATATCTTCTTCTCTTGATATTGATGTATCTAAACTAGAATGGNTATCTTAAAATTTGAGTACATATTTTCAGTTATATACATAGCATATATATTAAAAAATTTATGTAAAAGTAATATTCTCTTTTACTTTAGTGTTTTGATTGTCTTTGTTTATCTTAGCAAAGAAAAATCTTTTATTTTCATATTAATATTTAAAAATAATCTCATTTTTATATTATAATGATATTCCTTTCTATAATTATACACAAATAAATAATTTACTTTATTTTCAATAATTTGTATTTTTTAATTGATTCTTTATATTCAATACTACAAAAACTGGCTGATTTATTAAATTATATGTAACTTCTTTTAGCTTGTGCAGATGCTTATCTTACACCTTGTATTAAGAAATATGTACAAAGCTTCTCTAGTGGATTTAAAAATAATTTAAATGTAAGTAATTTTAATATAAAATTAAATATGAATTATTGTTTAATATAAATACTTTTATTATATTTTTGAAGGGTGTTAATGTTTTATTTATGCAATCTGACGGTGGCCTTACACCAATGAATAAGTAAGCAGTAGATTTATTATCCATGGTATTTGCATAAAAAATTACAGCTGATTAAAATTGATTATTATTTAATAAGATTTTGTGGATCTCGAGCCATTTTATCAGGCCCAGCAGGTGGGGTTGTAGGCTATGCAAGGACGACTTATGATGAAGAAAAAAAACCAGTGATTGGTTTTGATATGGGAGGTAGATATTTCAATATACAGTATTCTCTTGAATTATTTATATGTATTATCTATAAATTCAGATTTATTTAAATAAGTTATTTTTAAAATTATTATATATTTGCTTTATTGATAATCATGTAAGATTTTGAACATTCTATAATTACAAATAGTCAGTCTTTTGCAAAATATAAACATCACTATAAATATATGATTTTTATATTAAAACCAAATGATTGCCAGATTACATTGGATTATATTAATGCTACTAATTATAATTAAATGTCATGTAATTTGACCTAGAAGTAGGCATTAGGCATTATCTCTTGATAAATTTAGTAATTTTCACTAAATTAATATTTACTAATTAATTTAGAGGGTTAAAGAAAAGAAAAGAATTGGCTCAAAATGGGACTTGATCCTGCAACTCCAGTTTGCCTTGTGGATGCATTGCCAGTCACACTATCTGGACCTCAGTGTGATCTTTGTTTTCAGAACTATTAATTTAGATATAACTGTACTGCTTACTCATTGCACTGACTGGGGATGACAGCTTGTAACTCCCACTACGGTACTCAGCTGGCTACCACTTTACCCTGGCATGGTATATATATAGTTAATATATCTCAATGTAATCTGGAAATTGCTTTACACTGTGCTCAGGTAAAGCTATAGCCAGCTAAGTGCCATAGTGGGAGTTACAGACTGTGGGTGCTAAATTGTCCTCAGCTAGGGCCATGAGTAATCAGTATGGTTATATCTAAATCAATAATTCTGAACTCTTGATAGATTAGAGTTGCTGTACAATATCCACTTGAGAACCCATATGTGACTCCAATATATCATGTGCGTAGAAACTTACTAAAATTTTATGATTTTTTTTAGGTCCAGTTTTTCTTGGAAGATTATGAATTCAAAACAACATATAANACAGAATTTTCTATCTGGAAGTGTAACTTTTTTCAATGAGTATAATTATTAAAAATTTGATTGAAATAATTACTTTTCATATTTCTATATTTTTTCTTACAGTTACAAGAGAGAATTTGGTTTTATCATCCCTGATCGTCCAATTATTGTCGATGATATAAGAGTTCGTGGCATCGGTCAAACACACATTGATATAGCTAAAAGTATCCCACAGAGTACAGAACAAGCTAAGATAGAAATGGTAAATGATGATTAAAAATTAAAAATTTAATATTTTTTTAATATTATACTTACTAGATATTTTTATATTTTTAAAATGTAGATAACAAAATGCTATTTTGAAGATGGATATCATGATACTCCAGTTTATCTCCTCCAGAATCTTTTTTATGGTCATTGCATTAAAGGTCCATGTATTATCATAGAAGCAAATTGGTAAATATAAGTATCATTAATTATAAAAACAGCATGAATAGTAAAAATTATTTATTTTTATTGTTTATTTCTGTAGATGTTTTTTAATTGACTAGTAAAGTTTGTAGTAGTATTTAACCCTATGCATGTCCCTATTTTTCTTTTGTTTATATTAGCACTATTTTAGTAGAACCAGACTGTGAAGCATATATTACTGAAAAGGGAGATGTAAAAATTAAGGTTAGTATTTATTGTGCACCATTTGTATTGAGTATATTATAATTTATATTTTTTTGCATGTTATCTTTAATTTGCAGAAATTACTATTCAATGATTAAATATTCTGTTTAATAAAATATTTGAAAAATATGAAATAAAGATGTCCTTATATTCTCTTTTGTTTCTTATGAGTGTGTTCGGAATCAAATGTATATAGATTTCACTGAATTTCAGCCATCTGCATGAGAGAAGGAATGACATGATTAGTACCATACAACAATTACTTCACATACTCATTGGAAAGAGAATGAGATTTCTAGAACTAAATAAAAATAGGGATTAAAAAAAATTCTTTTGAGATATTGTTTTGCATGACAGTCTGATATTTTACCTCCTAAACCAATCAGCTATAGTAAAAAATTTTTACCTTGTAGTTTAGTAACTAATAACTTTTTCTGAAAGTTCTTGCAAAAGGAATGCAATATTTTAATTAGAAATTAAGCAAATAAAATATAAATTATGAAAATGACATAGATACATTATATACAAAACATATTCAATATAAAATCAGTAAAGTACTATTAAAAGTTGAGAGGATGAGCAATAGTATAGTAATTTTGACACAAAACTTTCAGGTCAGAAGCAACAGTAACTGTGACTGACAACACTATTGATGTATCAGAAAATAAGGCAATGAACCCAATAAAACTATGGTGACTCTCCAGTAATGCATGCAGTTAAGAGCAGTGTAACATTGTCTAATTTTTGACAAAAACCAATCGACATCTATCGGTACATGTAGGTACAGTAATGTGTTGTTCTTATCAGGAAGTTACCTCAGCGTGATATAATAATAATCAGTTGGTCCCAGTTAATATGTATGTTTTTATCAAGCGTTTTCTCTGCTAATGCTGTTGTATAGTTTTTACAATAAATATAATTTGAATTATTGATACAGTTAATGTATAATTCAATAGAATTGTTTTTAATTTTGAAAAATGATATATAAATATCTAAAAAATATTTGAATAATTTAACAGTTGGATATAAATACAGTTGCAGCAGGAGGTGGTTCAATGTTGTTTTTTAGATCAGGAATGTTTGTTGTCGGACCAGAATCTGCAGGTGCTCATCCTGGACCTGTATGTTATAGAAAAGGTATTTCTTTATGTTATGTTTAAAAACTTTTACTTTATGTCCTAATTTTTAAGTGCTATTTAATGGTTTTAATAGGTGGTCCTCTTACTGTAACTGATGGAAATTTATGTCTAGGAAGACTATTACCAGAATATTTTCCCAAAATTTTTGGTAAAACAGAAGATCAGCCATTAGATAAAGAAAGAACCATAAAAGCTTTTAAGGAATTGACTGATGAGGTATATGAATATATGTTTTGATATACAATATTAAATTTTGTTTCTGTTTGTAATTGGCTTCATGAAATATTTTGATGATATTACAAAATATATTAAGTAATGAATTTTATGCATTTATAAAATTGTTATAGATGATTGGAAATTAATAAATAACATGTTTTTTTTTTTTTACCCTCATGGTTTGTAATCTGTGAGTAAAAACATAAAGATTGTTTACTACTAATCATAATTTATGACTGGTAGTAAACAATTTTTTTGTATCTTTTAAGAATAATGATATAGTTATGCATTAACTCTTAATGTTAAGTCATGTTTTTCATACTTTGATCAAACTGATCAGATATGGTTGTTATTTTGAGTGGTTATACCAGTATATGGGTAATTTCATCATATTTCTGAATTTTAACTTATGTGGTATAGCGTTAAACTTCACAAATTTCTTACAAAAGAAATAGCAGCATGTCAAAGTTTNTTAAAAATGTATATAATAATAAAATTTTTATATTAAAGAAATTTCTTCCTTTTTTTCTTCTTCTAAGCCTTTGTGGATTCAGGAGTTAGCAATTGAACAAGCATTTTCTTCAATAAATTTTTATGTTTATGATTCATTAATTTCTATCATTTAAAACTTTGCAGATTATTAAGTTTTATATATATTGAGTAACTTTATAAATTAATAAGTTTGTTTGATTACAGGAACTTCAACAGATGTCAGTCGATATGATGGACATTATGAACATGTATTTGAATCCACTGTTGCTGGTGTGACGATACAAGCACCACAAGTAAGCCATTATCTATTTGTATAATATGTTAATAAATATAAACATCTTAAACCTGATAGTTTTGTATTAAAGCCAAACAATTGCTAGATTATAGTGGGTTATATTACATATATAGCCTGATATAGTCCAACAATTGTCTGTCTTTAATATACCACATGTTAAAATGAAGTTATGTTTGAATGTTAGAATTTTCTGAATCCTAAATTCATTAAGTTTGTATATTTATTAAACTCACTAGATTGAAATTAATTAGATAATAATTTAATTTAATCTAACATATAAATTATTATTTATTTAAAATAAACAAACGCCTTTCTCTATTTCAGCACAACGTTTAATTATTATATTTTTGAAGGGTGTTAATGTTTTATTTATGCAATCTGACGGTGGCCTTACACCAATGAATAAGTAAGCAGTAGATTTATTATCCATGGTATTTGCATAAAAAATTACAGCTGATTAAAATTGATTATTATTTAATAAGATTTTGTGGATCTCGAGCCATTTTATCAGGCCCAGCAGGTGGGGTTGTAGGCTATGCAAGGACGACTTATGATGAAGAAAAAAAACCAGTGATTGGTTTTGATATGGGAGGTAGATATTTCAATATACAGTATTCTCTTGAATTATTTATATGTATTATCTATAAATTCAGATTTATTTAAATAAGTTATTTTTAAAATTATTATATATTTGCTTTATTGATAATCATGTAAGATTTTGAACATTCTATAATTACAAATAGTCAGTCTTTTGCAAAATATAAACATCACTATAAATATATGATTTTTATATTAAAACCAAATGATTGCCAGATTACATTGGATTATATTAATGCTACTAATTATAATTAAATGTCATGTAATTTGACCTAGAAGTAGGCATTAGGCATTATCTCTTGATAAATTTAGTAATTTTCACTAAATTAATATTTACTAATTAATTTAGAGGGTTAAAGAAAAGAAAAGAATTGGCTCAAAATGGGACTTGATCCTGCAACTCCAGTTTGCCTTGTGGATGCATTGCCAGTCACACTATCTGGACCTCAGTGTGATCTTTGTTTTCAGAACTATTAATTTAGATATAACTGTACTGCTTACTCATTGCACTGACTGGGGATGACAGCTTGTAACTCCCACTACGGTACTCAGCTGGCTACCACTTTACCCTGGCATGGTATATATATAGTTAATATATCTCAATGTAATCTGGAAATTGCTTTACACTGTGCTCAGGTNGGATTTTATAAAATAAAAAGCAGTTGAAACTGCATTTTTATGAATAAAAATTTGACAAACTATTTATCGTTTTATGACGAGTAAAATTTTTTCGTCGCGTTCGCGGCTTTTAAGTAATGCATAGACCTTCGAGGCGCGAGGCCCTTCAGACCGCGAGGCATAGGCTGTGGCCCACGTCGTTCATGCCTTACGCCGCCCTTGGTCATAGAAATGATGTAATTTGAATATATAATATATATAAATACGTATGTCAAGTTATATCTTTATTACTACGTAAAATATATTTAAGAGTTTACGACCACTGTGCTGGGTGATACGTTGTTGAAACAAAAAAAGTTATGCATTCCATCACGTACATAAACAGTGTCGTAATTCACCAAGTGCAAATCAGCAAATTCGTAAAATTTTTGTTTATTTTGAACAATCCGGATAATCGAAAATCCGGATAATGGAGGTCCGGATAATGGAGGTTCTACTGTAATTCATTTTCCTATCAACAAATAAGAATGTTTTAATCCTGTTTGAAATAAATAGAATTAAAACTGAATCTCAAATTATATATTTCTAGTAAACAAAAATAATGCAGTCGGTTTTAAAATCAGTCATCTCAAATAAATGTGTTTTTATGAAATTGTAATAAAATTGAATATTTTGAATTTTTACTTATGAATTTTGTAAACTCAAATATGAGACTATTGATGATTTAAAAGTTTCTTCTAAATCATCTTGTCTACAAAATGAGCTGGATGTGGACAATTCTCCTACTCTTCTCTCTTTTAATTGCTAACTTCTCCCCACTTAGCTATCCTAGGCTACCTCTTACCAAATTGCATAACTTGTATAAGTCTGTTTCAAAAATGTAAAAATATCAATAAAATTTATTCCAACACAAGTAATATAAAATCTTTTTTCTATTTCCATTTATAGTAAACATAAATGGTGCTTTTTAATATTTTATGCATTTTTATATGCACATAATAAATTTGTGTATAAATTGTTTTATTCTATCCATATTATGTTATGTATTGAAACCATTTATGGTGTATTCTATGATTTGCATTTATAGAATGTTTGTAGGATTAAATTTAAAAGTGTAGAATGTAATGATGGCATTTACTATTAGTTCAAATGGCAAAATTTTGCTCATATTAGGCAAAATTTTAAATACTTGTAATTTAGAATTCAGCCCATATGTAATTTGAGAATCTATTGTATAAATGTACTATATCAATAATTTGAAACAGTGAATACATGAAAGGAAGCTGAAAAATTTGTAACTTTTCCTAATAATAGAATAATAGACAAAGTTGATAAAGTGAATCAGTTTTATTCATATAATTAGTTCTCAACTTTCATTTTGATAACCCTCAACTCAAACTTGTTATGACATTCTTTCAGTTTTTTCTCGAAAAGAACTTAGCTTGGTCTGAAAACTAGACCTCTGAGATACCAATTAATTGCTAATCATATTCAAATCTTGTTTCCTTCAGGTATTCAATAAGTATTTCTTCAATCAGAAAAAACAAAAAAAAAAAAAACCTTTTCAGTCAGCATTTAATTTTAAAAAACAAATGTTTTAAGCTAATTTAACTAGCAATCTCCAGGTTTGCTAGTTAAATTACTTAACACCATGACAAGCATAGTTAATTAAACTACACTTCTCATAGTGTAAATGTAGTTCACATGTGAAGATGGCTAGTTAAATTAACTGAAAACATTTGTTTTTTAAAATTAAATGATAGATTAAAAAAGATTTTTTGTTTTTTTTTTTATCATATTGTTCAATTTGGTATTCTTTTTATATTTCTTCAATGTTGGAAAAGCAATAATCCAAGGTTTACGGTCCAGTGAATAGACTGGATGGTCCAACAATATGAACCACAAATCCTTGATTTTTTTTATAGTTTGTTGAGCTATGTGGATAGGCAGTGGCGGCCTTAGGGGGTGGCGAGCAGGGCAATCGACCTGGGCCTCGCTTTTGGAGGGCCCTCGCGCAACAACCAAGTAGAAAAAAGTTGATATTTAAAACTTTTTATTTTATCCTTGGCTATTAGTTATAACAATAAAATAAATTTAATTTATAGTACAGTATATATTAATATTAATAAGTGCCTACTATTTCAATTCACATACTTTGCACAAAGGACAAGGGCCTCGCAAAGATCTGCCGCCCAGAGCCTCGCAATGGATAAGGCCGCCGCTG